CCTGAGAAACTATTTTGTAGATAACAATATGTAAAATGATAACCATTGATAATTTCCTACCATTTTGTCTGTAATTTGGTAAGTCCCCCCTATTATTATGTTATCCTTCCTTTACTCTTTAAAATTTAAAAAAAAAAAAATTTTATCATTTTCTGTCAAACCATCAAGGCTTTGACTCTAGAAGAGAACGGCAGATATGGGAGAGCAGATGTTTCAACTATATTGGGCTTGTGGTCCACTTTTTTTGTCATTATTACAGTGCAACATACAATGAACTAATCATACAACTCACCATGATGCAAAATCTCCCGCAGCTCGCTGCTAGAGTTTTGACATATGTCTGAAATCAATTGATTTTTTTTTTTTTTTCAGTACCAGGGAACGAACCCAGGACCTTGTGCTTGCCAGTCAGGCGCTTATGCCACTGAGCTATATCCTCAGCCTGATTCCTTAGGCTCTGTGCAAGAAAACCTTTTGGCTAATGTTACTCTGCATTTGCAGCTGCTCCATAGTACAGCTTCACAGCCTCAGCTCCGCCTGAGATCATCAGGCTTTAGGTTCTCATAAGGAGCACTCAACCTAGATTCTTCACATTCACAGTTCCCAGCTGCCCTGCCGGGTTGGGGCTCCTCTGAGAATCTCACGCTGCCCCTAATGTGACAGGAGGCAGAACTTAGGCCATAATGGAATGATGAGGGGGGGCTGTGAACTGTGCAGCCTGCCTCCTAATAGCTGGGGGCCGAGGGGCCTAGTCTAAATGATGCCCAGTCTGCTGTTCAGTTCAGTGTTTTTTACTCTAAATAAACAGATAAACTATTTTCATTATTATATTGGTTTTTAACAGCATCAAAATAATGTTTCTACTAGCATTTCTTAGCATTTCTCCTTCCATTCTTGCACTTGATTTTTCATTGTAGGAAGGTAAATTTTTTTAATGAAACTTTTTAAAAGTTTTATATGGAGATAAAATATTAGCTAATTTTTAATTTAATTAGCCATAGGGTTTTTTGTTTTGTTTAGTATCCTACTGTTTAAAAAAGCTGTTGCACTGACATTTTTATATATGGTAGTTCTGTTTGTCTTGATTTGTATTCTTATGATGCACTTCATAAATGTCAACTACTGAGAAGGGAAAAATCAGAAAATATTTATGTTGACGAAGCTGCTTTATCTAAATTACTGAAAAAGTTGTGAGGGAATTGTGCTTTAGAAGTGGAGTAAGATTTAACTTTTTAAAAGTTGAAATTGGATAATTTTTAATGTAGTTTGATAACACTGTTCTCATTTTTTTAGGAAAGCCTAAAATAAGCTTAAACCAAAAGTCTGTTAAACTTCCAAATGCTGTGCCTACTGTGACTACTAAAAAACCCACTTTTAAAGGTAAAAAAATTCACTGCAATACAGATTTATGAACTATTTGTTAATTTTTATCAATATTCTTAAATCCAAAGCCCTTCACCAACAACCTATATTTTAAGCAAAGCATGTATGTGTAAAGTATCTTGATGGTTTTGTATAATTATATATTTGGAAGCTAGTAAATTTGCCCACAACCCAGGTAAATTGATAGATATTTTTCATCTGTCTTTGGTTTGCTGCAAGATTTTCTAAAATATGAACATACAGCCAGGGATTTAGCTCAGTAGCACAGTGCCTGCCTGGCAAGCATGAGTTCCTGAGTTTGAGTCCTGGTACCCCCCCCAAAAAAAATGCAGATATGTCCTATTTCATTCAACAATTCTTCAACTGAATAACATTTCAATTTTTATTATTTTTGCTACTATAAGCAATGGTGCAAGAATGATTTGTTTTGTATTTCCATAAAATAGAGGATATAAGTAAGAACGTTGCATTGAGATGTATGCTTTTAATTTTAAAAAATATTGCCAAGCACTTTTCAAAGAGATTATAGTTAATAATTCTACTAGTAAATGCATGAAAGTCCTGTTCACTTAGCATCTAAGCCAGCACTATGCTTTTCATGAATTGAAAATATTCACAATGTAAAGCAATATTGTTCAGATGTCAGTACTTCCCAGAATGACCTAATGATTCAGTACAATCCCTATACAAATTCCAGACTTTTTGCCGAAATAGAAGTCCATTCTAAAATTCATATGGACTCTTAAGGAATTGTAATATCAAAATAACCTTGAAAAAGAAGAAAGTAAGAAGAGTCACATTCATAATTTCAAAGCTTACTGTAAAGCTATGGTTTTAATGAGAGTGTGGTACTGGCATAAAGAGAGAGTCACAGACCAATACAACAGAATAAAGATCTCAGAAATAAACCCTCACACACGTGGATGAATGGACTTTTAATATCTATATATAATAATTTTTAAAATTATATCTATATAAGGGAATATTATTCTGCCACAAATAGATGCAATTCTGTCATTTTCAAAGGCATGGAAGGAACTTGAGGACATTGTTTTAAATTAATAAGAGATGCACAGGATGACAAATAATATGTTACTCATTTATGGAATCTGAACAAGTTGATCAAACAGAAATACAGTGTAGAATGGAGATCACTGGAGATTAGGAATGGCAGTAGAAATGGTGAGAGAGTGAGTGACGGCTTCCAAGACACAACTGGAGTAGGAAGGGGGTTCTAATGTTGTACGGCTCCATAGAACAATCAGTTATGAGTTTCAAAATCATGGAGAAGAGCTTGAATACATAGAAGAGTATTATTTGAGGAGATGGGAACACTACTTACCCTGCTTTGATCATTACACATTTTATCACTGAAATACTAAGTATAAATTTTTATATGTTAAAATATAAAATTTAAGAATTGCTATTAGGTTGATTTAAGTGCCTTTTCAGAATCTCATTATATAATCAAAATCTTTTCCCTTTTGCCTTAGCCTTTATAATGGATTATTTGGATCAATCTTATGTTTGGATTTTTACAGTATTGGAATGACTTACTAATACATTTTCCTTTGGGTTAATTGTGTATTTATTATTTTATATATATCAGTATCTTAAAGAAGATTAGTTTGAGGGTTTTTATTATAAATTATAATTAGTAAGTTTTAACATTAAAATTATAATAACTTCACAAAATGATTCAAAGAGGTCTTTTGTAATACATTCAGGAAAAGTTTAAGTAGTACTGATATTTCTTCTTGGAATTCTAGGTAGAATTCAGCCATACAACTATACCCTGTCAGTGGTATATCTTAATCACTTTCTCTGATCATTGTTGCTGTTTCTTTTTTCTGATTTAATTTGGAATTAAAGCGCGTAATCATTAATGAACTTTTCCATCTCTTCTGTAACTGTGATTATTTTGGTTTCTCATTCATAGTTTTATAAATTTTTTACACTTTCTCTTTATTCATAAGAGTGTTAGTACTATTTTTACCTGTTCTGTTAGTCTCTCTAAATCTAGTATTTGCTTTTATTCATTCTTTTTACTTTTCTAATTTATTACCTTCAGGGATTATTTTTATTAATTTCCTTCTTTCTATGCTCCTTCTATTATTTGTCACTTCATTAATTTTTTACATGAACAACAAATTCTTAATTTTTCATCCTGTTTAATGAAGTAAAGGAATTTGAGTATAAAATATTTTCTGAGTATTACTTTCAGCTCTATTTCTTTTTCATTTGAAGTATTCTTTTTAATTTCTTTATGTAATTTATTGCTTCAGTTTTTATTTGCCCTTTGAAATAGGTGTTTCTTTTTTTTTTTTTTTTTTTTTTTTTTTTTTTTTTTTTTTTTTTT